GTCCCGCTGCCGTTCCCAACTACAGACCTCTCCGGCGGCCCTCACCACCGTTGGCCCTGAATGCAGCCCCCCCCACTCAGGGGTCCACCGGTGCCAACCCAGAGGGCACCCAACCGGGCAGCCATCCAGTGCCATTAATGCCACAGGTATGGCCACATGAGGAGGTATTGCACTCAGCCAAGGGACCGATCCCAGTGGCTCAGTCCAGGGCCCCCTCCTGCACTAGAAGCAGCAGCTCACTGTTACCAGGTTAGCCCCATGTACGCTCCAAATCCCAACAAGGAAGCCTGAACCTTCTTGCACGAGGCAGGTCCCATCCAAGCCACAGCTGGTAATCACAGGATCATCACAGGCAGCCGGTCCAGTTGAACAGGCACTCAGTGCAAGGTCTGCAAGACACGAGAGCCACACTGACCCTGGTGCAACACCAGCTGGTCACAGAAGGGGAAAAGAAGTGGTCTGGTTGCCTACTGTGTCCCTTTAACAAGGATATTCACTAAATGCCAAATTAGGATCTGAATTGCAAACCTCAAAGGAACACTCCAAGCACCATAACTATTACAGCTTACTGTGGTGGTTACGGTTCCAAGAAAGCAATTGTGCCCCCAATGTACATAGTCAAACCATTTGACAACTTACTCAATCACTTCGATCAGCTGACATTCTCAGCCATGAGTTAGCCTTGTAAAGCCGGGAGTAAAATTTTGACTTGGCTGCGGCTATCTTCCGATCCGGCGCAAATTTCCATAGCGCTGAGTGAACAAACCCTGGTCACCTAAAATGATTGTGCTTTCTGTGGATACGTGTAGCCCTCTCAAGTCCTGTGTACTGTTGGATGCTTCACCACCTCCTCTATCACCCCTTCAAATAGTGCTCTAATAGGTGACTCTGGGATCAACAAAGTTTTTTGTTTATTTGTTATTTAAACGTGGCTATCCTGCAAATCGATCAGAAGATCCAGAGAGGTTGGAGGTTGCTCCTAGTCAGGTGTGCTGTGCCTCTATGACCTTCCCGTGGGTCTAGGATGACTCTGGGGCTACTTACAAGGGCGCTGGGCTGGAAGGCATGAGCTGCAGAGGCAAATTAAGTGAAAATAGCTCTTTTAGAGGGAGGTGGTGGTTGGGAGACATGTACCAGTCCTGGATGACCTGGTGGTCTGTCACATAAAGCATTGTGGAATAAATTGGCGCTATATGAATGTCATTAATTATAATAAAAAATCCTGATAATGGACCTGCTGTCCTGGAAGCCTCTGCTCAAATTCAGGCTCTCTCTCCACCCAGCATCATCTCCCTCTCTCCTCCCGGCTCCATCTCCCTCTCTTCTCCCCAGCTCACGCTCTCCCCAGCTCCATCTTCCTCTCTCCCCCTAGCTCTCTCCCCCTCTCACAGTTTTATCTCCCTCACTCACTCTGCTCTACTTCAAAGTCTTAATTTGGCACAGTGTTTCTAAAAGTGCTGCCCATTGGACTTGAACATTATCACAACCCAAATATTACATGATTGTATTTGTGCCTATATATGTTCTGGTTTACTGGAAATGACGTGTCGCATCTCTACAGTAGTGACACAATGCATCTCCCTGCATATGATACTCCAGAGAAATACAGGTGTACCGAGGGAGATAGGTCCCCCCCTCCTTTTATTATTTAGTGACCCCACCCACCGCACACGAGTGGGGGCCGGGGTAGGGGACAATAGGTCGTCCCCCCCTTGTTACTTAGGACCCTTATGGGTGGAGGCTGGAGGGGGACACCAGGTCCCCCGATTAGCTTAGTGATTAGCTTAGTGTCCTTCCCCACCCCACCCCCCATTAATTGTTTTTATAGGTGCACTTTATTGGACTGGGGGGGTGTCTTTCTTCAAACCGAACAAAATGCACAAATTTCATCCTAACACAAATGGACAAACTGTACTCATTCTCTTAGGATGAAATTCATTAGTTTCGACCGAATCCTGTCTATATTACAGGATGTTTGAACAGCGAATGAAGCAACTAGAGATCACGGAGGAGAGGTGAGTCAAAGATGGTGAGTCTGGGGAGGCGGAGCCAGCAGCCGAGCTAACCAGACGCCATACAAAGTATCTCCCAAGTACCGTTTCTCAATCTTGCCGCAATCTTGTTACCATTACCCGATCCAAACTTCCACAACCCCCCAATCGATTCAGGGGCCACAGCTGCATCAATAGATGCCATTCTTTTCTAATTCTAAAGGGCCCAAACGGAGAAGCGGGCCTTGGGCCAACCTCACGTGGACCCTGTCCAACCTGGGATATATATTCGGCAGAGCTTATGTAAACGATCACACAGCCATCTCACAGCCTGAATATTTATTTATTTATAAAATATTTTACCAGGAAAGATACATTGAGATTTCTCTCGTTTTCAAATATGCAAGCTTTGGGACGCAGATCCCAGAAACATGGAACCCCAGCAGAAGGTAGGGACATATGCACAATGCTCCAGTGACCCGCATGGCCTGTGCCGACGTTGGCGTAGGCCCTGACTACAAGGGAAATACCGCCATATTCCGAGCAGCAAGAGCAGTATGAATCCCACAACATACATACAGACCGCATCGATCCCCCAGAGGAATCAGCTCCCACAACGAAACACGACCTGAAGGTCCTATTGCAAGACTTTCAGAAAATGCTCACCTCAAAGCTAGCAGTCCTCAAGCTCTTTGGTCTTGGCCATGGTGGAGAGTTTGGAATCTGATTGAGTGATTGCTTCTGTGGACAGGTGTCTTTTATACAGGTAACAAGCTGAGATTAGGAGCACTCCCTTTAACAGAGTGCTCCTAATCTCAGCTCGTTACCTGTATAAAAGACACCTGGGAGCCAGAAATCTTGCTGATTGGTAGGGGATCAAATACTTATTTCACTCATTGACATGCAAATCAATTTATAACTTTTTTGACATGGGGTTTTCTGGATTTTTTTTTGTTATTATATCTCTCACTGTTAAAATACATCAGACAAAAGTTAATTGTTGTGTTACTCTATACTTGTGTTGTCTTCTCAAGGAAAGTTTATACAGCCTGAAAAGATTATTGTAGATTACCTAACTAAGCCAACCTGTTTTTAAAAATTTCCACCACTCTTGTCGTATCCTGTAATACTCATGCACCCTCTTATGTTTTACTTCAATCAACGGACATGTCGTTATAAGCTTATTTGTCAATCTCTGCTTACCAAAAATAAAGAATTTAAAAAAAAATACACCTACCATTAAAATTATAGACTGATCATTTCTTTGTCAGTGGACAAACATTCAAATTCTTTTTTTCCTCACTGTATTACCAATTAGAGGAAACATGCACTCACTCTGAACAGTGGTTGGTGGACATGATAGCAGCTCATGTGCAACCAAAGAGAGAGCAGGCCACACACTGCCAATATTAGGGGGCAAACAAGATTTAAAAAATGTATGTTCTTACCATTTCCAAGGCACTACTCTTCTTTCTGGTGCTAGCTCTCCGAGTGGGACCAACTAGACACCCAAGTGCCTTTTCCAAAACACAACTGCTCCACTCAGATGTGTTCTGGTTCTGGTGCTAGTGACAACTTCGCTGCTAGGAATTGCAGACATCTCACCCTTCTGTTGCATTTCTCCCTCATACTACATTCCCCTCTTCTTCTGCCAGTAACACACCCTTTGGATCAGTTTCTCCCAAGTTGGTAGGCTATTGGATCTGAGTGCTAGTTTTCCCCTAATCCTAGGATTGGACAGGCAAGCTAGCGTCAGTTTGGCGAGAATTATCTACTTGTTTGCAAACTTTGCTGTGGCACAACACATTGCCCTCAGGGCCGTCTTTAATATTGATTGGACCCTGGGCAAGAATTTACTTGGGCCCCCTGGATCCCGCCTTCCCACACCCTAGCATGCAATCACGCCCTCCACCACAACACACACACATACCAAAAAAAAAAACACAACTCGTAGAATTGTAATTAATTAAGATACCTAATATATATGTAGAATAAATATATGTATGTGTGTATATATCTATATAATTTTTTTTAAATATTTTTATTTATATATAGGTATATATAGTGATATATACATATATATTTATGTATATAGATATATATATTATTTCGTTCTACGTGTATTTTGATATATATATATATATATATATATATATATATATATATATATATATAAATTTCACAATACAGTTAGAACGAAATAACACACATCTATATATTTTTTAATAATTATTTTTTTAATTTTATTTTTTAACGTATTTACATTTTTATTTTTTTTATATTATATATAAATATATATAACAATAATTATATATATATTTAATCAGTATCAGTCTACGTGTAATTTGATATAAATATATATATATATATATTAATAGTAAAATACACCGAGACGGTGTACGTGTGTGTATGTATATGTGTATATATACTTAGATCATGGCAATGCAGGAGGCAGCTACCCCCGGCCATGTGATTGTGGGGTCCTCGCAAGGACCCCACTCTCACATGGCCTGGGGGGCTTCGAGGAGGACGGACGTGCCGCGTGGGGCTCCCTGGGAGTCCCCCCTACCGCGACCGCCGGCGACCGGGTAAGTACCGAAAGACCGGAGGGCGTACTATTACGCCCAGTGGCGTTTAGAGCTGCTTAGAATAGGGCGTAATAGTACGCCCTCCGGTCTTAAGGGGTTAAAAAGCCTGCAGAGACATGTTATAGACACCAGAACTACTACGTTTAGCTGTTGTGGTTCTGGTGACTATAGTGTCCCTTGAATATAGAGGGGAAAAAAAGGATCAGCACAAAAGTATTAAATAAAATGGCTGTATCATTATTATAAAAATTAAAAAAGCACAACTTATGACACAAATATATAGTATTTAACAGATTACTTTATTTTTAACAATGTGATAGTACTGTACTACTAACCCCTCCATCCACCCTTCCCCCTCCCCTCTAACCACCCTTACTCCCATAAAACAATATATATTACTGTAACTAACTAATGTAAATACTTACAGTTCTGAAGACTCCAGCAGGCTCAGGATCAGTTGGGCAGCTGGGCTCAAGGCTGGAGTGGGTGCTGACCTTCCGTTCCGGATGGCGCCGCTCTGCAGTTCAGGAAGGTGCCGCGCTGCAGTTCGGGAAGGAGGCGGAGTCACGGCAACGCTCACCCTAGCGTTGCCGTGACTCCGCCTCCGCGTGACGTCATCGTGCGCGGCATACAAATGGCAGGGGAGGTCGGGAGGCGGAGCACCAAGTAAGTCCTTCACTATGCGGGACACAAATTTGTGGGCAGTGGCCAGCGGGGCTCAAGAGGCAGCTGCCTTGGGCCCCCCAGGAGCAACTGGGCACGGGGCAGCTGCCCTTTTTCCCCCGCGTTAAAGACGGCCCTGCTGTTAACTGAAAGTTACTGTTCCCCTCACTGCTTCCAACGTGGCCCCCGATATCGCAGAAGCCTGCGTCCATAGTAATGACGTGCTCGGTGGGGATAGACGCGCCCGCGGATCTGGCTGTGATCCGCCGCGACTTAGATAAGTGCATCTCTTTATTCAAGCGACCACACCGATCGGGGGCGGTCATGTGCGGCCGCGAGCTGGTGCCGTGGCTCTTTCCTTGTATGGAATCTTGCATCAGTGTGCTCAAGAAAGGCAAAGACCAAGATATTGGCCTCCTAGATAGTAATTCAGACATACCTACAGAAGTACTTGCCCGACTAAACTGAGGTAAGGGCTATGTACTAGAACTACTACTAGAAATGGTAGTAGCCCTACTTGTTGTGATGGTTGTGGCTGGAGCTTGACCCTCACTCACTTTAGAGAAAAATAAGAAAGGAAGGAAGAGTAGAGAAAAATTTGGGAAGTTTAATAAATAGTAGCAAGAAAAGAAAGAGTGTGGGAAACATTTTACTAAACAAAAATAAAGTGTAACATAGGGGCTTGTAATGATGTTTTAGTGTTAACGTGCTGTGTGTTTGTTTGTGTGATCATGTGTGTGGTGTTTTTAAACTAAACTTGCTGGTAAAATAACTGTTACATTACAAAAAAATTACAGAAGATAGGCTTTGCAAAACTGTACAATGCAGTCTGCCAACAAGTGCAAATAGAGACACAGGCTAAAACTATTGAATTTGAAGCTTTGAAATTGCTAAAACAAATACTATTTAAAATTAAAACTGCTGCCAGTAAAATAACGTCAGCTACCTTGAAGCTAAGCTTAGTACAGTCACACATTTAGATTATATGTACTAAAGTACCTCACTGCTTACTTCATTGCTTACTGTTAAAAAAAATAATTGAACTAAAATCAAATCATAAAATAATATCTTGACATTTAACAACACTAGAACAGTTCACTTCACTGCTGATGCTGAATGTGAGCAGACAATGAAATAAAAGCAACAACCCTGACTCTGACTAGTGTTTTCTGTGCAAACAAAGCACAAAGAAACTGTACTACAACAAAATTACATGCGGTTGAATATTACATAAAACTAAAACATTCTAAGAAATCAATTAAACATTATTATTACAGTAAATTAACTCTTATTGCCTGCAAAGCAAGCACACACAGTTCAGATTGTACGTTTATTTAATGTATGTAGTGTTTGTTTGTATTAGATGCAGAGTGTATGCTTGTGCAGTGGATGTAGTGAGTCTATATGAATGCAGAGTGTGTGTTTGTGTAGTGGATGTAGTGAGTGTATAGTGGATGCAGTGTGTCCTTGTGTAGTGGATGTAGTGTGTGTTTAGTGAATGCAGAGTGTGTGTTTGTGTAAGGATGTAGTGTGCGTGTAGTGACTGCAGAATGTGTGTTTGTGTAAGGATGTAGTGTGTGTTTAGTGATTGTAGAGTGTGTGTTTGTGTAAGGATGTAGTGTGTGTTTGTGTAGTGGATGTAGTGTGTGTAGTGAATGCAGAGTTTGTGTTTGTGTAAGGATGTAGTTTGTGTAGTGAATGCAAAGTGTGCATTTGTGTAAGAATGTAGTGTGTGTATAGTAATTGCAGAGTGTGTGTTTGTGTAAGGATGTAGTGTGTGTAGTGAATGCAGAGTGTGTGTGTTTGATTCACTACACACTCTACATCCTTACACAAACACACACTCTGCAGTCACGACACACACTACATCCTTACGTGAGAGTGTGTGTTTGCATAAGGATGTTGTATGTGTTTAGTTAATGCAGAGTGTGTGTGTAAGAATGTAGTTTGTGTTTAATTAATGCAGAGTGTGTGTGTAAGGATGTAGTGTGTGTTTAGTTAACGCAGAGTGTGTGTGTAGGGATGTAGTGTGTGTTTAGTTAACGCAGATTGTGTGTGTAAAGATGTAGTGTGTGTTTAGTTAACGCAGAGTGTGTGTAAGGATATAGTGTGTGTTTGGTTAACGCAGAGTGTGTGTGCAAAGATGTAGTGTGTGTTTGGTTAATGCAGAGTGTGTGTGTGTAAGGATGTAGTGTGTGTTTAGTTAATGCAGAGTGTGTGTGTAAAATGTAGTAGTGGTGCATACTGTGGGGGGCAGGGGTAGAAAGCATTTTGTTTCCATTAATCGTTATACATTTTATTTTATTCCCCCCTCCCTGCATCTTACCTGTGGCCAGGGAGGGTGGAGGTCACATTCCCTGGTGGTCTGGTGGCATGCTGCGGCCCCTGGCTACCTGTACACCGCAGGGAGGTCCAGCACAGTTCATCACTTACCAGTTGCTTTGCTCTAAGTCTTGCGAGTCGCACGGTGCGTTGCTGTGAAGACCGCGGCACTCGCGAGACTTAGAGAAGAGCAGCTGGGAAGTGAGGATGGACTCTGCTGGGCCTCCCTGCAGTATACATGTAGCTGGGGATCCAAAGATTCAATAGCAATCATCGCTATATATGTGTGCATGTGGGGCCCAGGACTCCCCGAGCAGACCGGGGCCGCCAGGACTGCCGGGCCCATGACAACCATTATGGTTGTCATGCCCTAATGGCAGCCCTGATTACCAGTCAGTCACCCAGTCATTGTGCTAGTTGTTGACTTGCCTACTGGCACAGAACTGCTGCTGAAAAAAAAAATACTAACTGTGCACTGGAGTATGGACACTATATTCACCAGAATCCTACTGCTTAATGTCTATATCCTGTCCATGCAGGCTTTTCAATGTAATCGCTGCCTTTTCAGCAAAAAGTGTTTATGCTGTCTAGTGACACCTCTTGTGTCAGACACTCAGACAGCCACTAGAAGTGCTTTCAAACTTAGTTCTGCACAGTCTGCAGTACCTACATTCAGCATCTCCACGCTCTGCATGGAGTTTCACACAGGTCTCACATATAAAAATCAATGAATGACAACGAGGCTAGCACAGCAGTGTGTCACCATCAAAACTCAGTCAAAGTGTGGAAGGGCTTTATATACTGCTTTCTCAATCTGTTTTTTGTTGTTTTTTACAAAAACGAGGCAGGGCCCTTGTGGATCATGTTACATGAGTAATCTGATTGGACAAACAAAACTCCCACAGTCCCTCCCCTTTTTGTATTGTACGTGCCAACCGCTTCATCGGAATAGACGAATGTCACATGGAAGAATATAGTTTGGTGTGCATATGTTCATTCTGAAATTCATTTATTTGGAATTTGGGCAAATGAGACCATTTTTGTCCCAATTTCAATTTGTTCGAAAACGAATGCCAGGGAGAGTCGGCGCTGGAGAAAAGGTGAGTTGTTATATTTAGTTTTTTTTCATTGTACATAGGAAGTGGGACCCCAGACCTCACAGACGAGGACCCAACAGGTCAGTGTTCCTAAGGTGATTTAGGTGGCCGCCTATATCATCTAGTTAGAGAGCCATCTCTGGAATATAATGACAGTGGCAGCAAAATGCCGCCCCGGTCAGAGGGTTGTCAGCAGGGCCGTCTTTAACGCGGGGCAAAAGGGGCAGCTGCCCCGGGCCCAGTTGCTCCTGGGGGGCCCAAGGCAGCTGCCTCTTGAGCCCCGCTGGCCACTGCCCACAAATTTGTGTCCCGAAGTTATCCTTCACCTTCACTATGCGAGTGGCATTGCCGCATAGTGAAGGACTTACTTGGTGCTCCGCCTCCCGACCTCCCCTGCCATTTGTATGCCGCGCACGATGACATCACGCGGAGGCGGAGTCACGGCAACGCTAGGGTGAGCGTTGCCGTGACTCCGCCTCCTTCCCGAACTGCAGCGCGGCACCTTCCTGAACTGCAGAGCGGCGCCATCCGGAACGGAAGGTCGGCACCCACTCCAGCCTTGAGCCCAGCTGCCCAACTGATCCTGAGCCTGCTGGAGTCTTCAGAACTGTAAGTATTTACATTAGCTCTTAATGCCGCTGGGCGTAATAGTACGCCCTCCGGTCTTTCGGTACTTACCCGGTCGCCGGCGGTCGCGGTAGGGGGGACTCCCAGGGAGCCCCCCGCGGCACGTCCGTCCTCCTCGAAGCCCCCCCGGCCATGTGAGAGTGGGGTCCTTGCGAGGACCCCACAATCACATGGCCGGGGGTAGCTGCCTCCTGCATTGCCATGATCTAAGTATATATACACATATACATACACACACGTACACCGTCTCTGTGTATTTTACTATTAATATATATATAATTATATATATATATATATTTATATCAAATTACACGTAGACTGATACTGAGTAAATATATATATAATTATTGTTATATATATATTTATATATAATATAAAAAAAATAAAAATGTAAATACGTTAAAAATAATTAAAAAATATATAGATGTGTTATTTCGTTCTAACTGTATTGTGAAATTAATATATATATATATATATATCAAAATACACGTAGAACGAAATAATATATATCTATATACATAAATATATATGTATATATCACTATATATATACCTATATATAAATAAAAATATTTTTAAAAAATTATATAGATATATACACACATACATATATTTATTCTACATATATATTAGGTATCTTAATTAATTACAATTCTACGAGTTGTGTTTTTTTTTTGGTATGTGTGTGTGTGTGTTGTGGTGGAGGGCGTGATTGCATGCTAGGGTGTGGGAAGGCGGGATCCAGGGGGCCCAAGTAAATTCTTGCCCAATCAATATTAAAGACGGCCCTGGTTGTCAGGAGCCATGGTCTCACCGGAACCTATGGATGGACTGGCCCTGATGCTGTCATTAAAACAGTCCCTCAGGAAGTGTTACTTGCAGAGACAAAATGCATAGGACCTGCTGATTTTATGCATTATTATTCTATGGAATAAATCTCTTTTTTACTTGATTTGGTGTACTAAGTATTCCAATACTAACGTACAGAAATGGTATACCAACAGCTCCCCAGAACATCGAGGGGAGGCACCTTTTGAACGCCGTTAGTGAGATATCCTGTAAGTGCTACTAATGTTATTGTAGAGATGTATGTTGTAACAGTATTACACTATTGTTATTTTGTATACATTCTAGGATTCAGCTGTAAACCCATATATTTTGTATGTATGCATTTTAGGAAGTCTTTAAAGAAGAATTCCAGGGGGAAGCTGCCACAAAGCTTATAAACAAATAAATAAATAGGTAAACAGATAACCAATACACCTCACAGTGAATGCACACAACAATGTCCTATACATATTTTGGTTACAAATTGGGATTTTATTTGGTAGACTGAACAATGTCTTCAAAGTTTGGGCGATGTTTGCTACCAAATGTCTTCTGGCTTCAAAAAACATTTGAATGTGTTTGGATAAATCATGGCGTCCGTGAATTTTTTTATTTTTTTTTATCCCAAAGCTTATAAAGCCTGTGAGTTGCAAGCTCAGTATTTCTAATTTGAACTTGAGCTATTGGTTTACAGCTACATATCTATGTAACTGTAAAGGATTAGTTAAACAGCAGGGAGAGGATATAACCGAAAGAACGTGTTCTTTCGGTTATATCCTCTCCCTGCTGTTTAACTAATTTTGGACGTTTCGTTAACTATGTGTTCGGGAAAATGTATTTGTTCTACCGAACGGAGACGACCCTGGGAAGCAACTAGAACTTGGAACATGGAGTAATAATCTCACGAAACCACAATTTAAGTGAATGCTTCTAGGTGGCCGCCATATGAACAAAGGATGGCGGACATCTTAAATCTCCCGAATGCAGTCAGCGGGACTTATGCGTGAATTGCCTGGAACTGTTTTCGGCATGGCAAACACGCGAACGGCCGGTCTGTATGGAAGTCCCGACTGACTACTTTCCACTCAATGTATCAAACCGGCTTTCGGGAGTTTGAATCTACCGAAAAAGGGGAGCATTCACATGTAACAAGCTGCAACATACGAACAGTAGTTTTCGTGTAATTAGGCTAGAATGGAGACCGGCTCTTGCTGCTGATTTCATGGAACTCTGAATAGGATACCTCCACATGGCGAGCAGGTCAAACTTCCACACGATGCGACACGAAAACTACCGAACGGATTTTCGGGAAATTTGGAACTGTGACTCCTAGTATCCTCAGCTACCCAGGGATGGTATTGTTATATTTGTATGTTAGGCAGAAAGTACTTTTCTGAAAATGTTAAAAATTTTAATATTTCTGGCCTGCAGATAATTGAGTTTAGTATGTTGCTAAAACATGTATTGTATAAATTGAATGCCTGTTGCTTCCAGTAAATCAGTCTTGTTCCAGGATTAATCTTTGGCTCATGTGTGGATTATTTGGCGATACCAGCGATATTTATTCCTGTGGATTACTTGGTGATTTTCTTTTATGGGAAGAAGGGAATGCTTGACGGCGATACAGTTTACTACCGTCACAGTAACTTTTGAGAATAATATCTGCTATGGGAATTACTCATTTACAGAATACATATATTGCTTATATGTGTTCTGTTTTTTGTTTTATTGCTTTTTGATATGGTTATATATGCTCTATGGGGTTCAAAGTAATGCTTTGAGCACAAAAGCTATAAACATCAAAGAACCTTTAAGTTTAAAAAAAGATTAAAATTTTCAATCAGATCTTACAGCACAATTTGTTTACTTTCCCATCTACTGCTCTGTTTATTGAACTTTGATCACACACAGGATGCTGTTGTAGGAGCTAGCATGCATTAACAGAGCAGGAAATTAGAAATTCTAAATTAAACACACAGTGCGATAAGGGAAGCTAAAAACTTAGAATCTTTTCAGTAGATGTGCAGGAAGACTGTGAGTCTCAACCAGGGAAGGTTGTATTAAAGCGTAAACAAAGTGATTTAACTTCTAAATAACTGGGAATTGAGCAGTTAAACTGCTGGTGCATGACCTATACACCAAAATGACTTTATTAAGCTAAAATCTCCATTCTGATAGAAGAGTAGTGTTACCTTTCCCTAATAGCCTTGTGTGTATATGTATGTGACACAAATTTCTGTGTCTATATATAGGAGGAAAGTAATGTTATACTGACAGTCGGTGGAATACGTCCCAACTGTTCATGATTTGGCAGAATCACCACAATTTCAGGCTTCTATCTCACCATCCCAGGTTTGTGATGCAGGACACTAGGGAACTGACACCAATCCATGGGTAAGAACAGATGGTGTAAGAACAGGTGACATATAGAAGTTGGTAGATCAGATGTGCTCGCTGATTAATGAGGATAGATACATCGGGGGACTTTCATTACAGACTATAAGAGGCAATGTTGGCACATTAAAGAGTGAAGAGTTAGTAATAATAATACAGATAAATGACAACCGGTGCATTAACATGTACAAGTTACTTGGCCAATATATAAAATCCTCACTAGGAAACAGAACTGAGTCCCTAGCACAGATACTCTTTATAGCCACTGAGCCCTTATTTCCTGCATTGTTATACAGTAAACTGAGGGGTTCATAGCATTTCTGGTCAACGTCGTTCAAATAGAAGTCTTTGCCTATTGTGACTGGCTTGTCCATGCCAGGCATGAGGGTCCTAGTCCATAGCAGTACAAGGTGTTCTTCATTGGCCTAAAGCATACTCTTCTGATCCAATAACAAACTCAGGAATAGGTTCTAGAATCTTGGGATTGACAAAATGCACCAGTTGACAGTGAGCACGGGGTCCACATCTTGATTATCGTTTACCCCGTGCTCACTGTGCCTAGAGGAGTATCAGCTACACCTCACTGACGAGGCCCAAAGAAGGCCGAAATGATCTTCTATGGTTGCTGTATCTCTCATGCAGGGAGAACTTGCTGGCATTTCGGTTCTGGACTGCCCTTAAGGGTGGGATCAGTCAGATATGCTTCAGAATATATTCTCTATATTCTATATACTGAGTTTCTCTAAGCTTTTGTCAGTTCTCAGAGTTTTCATATTCTTGGTTTTTGTTGTAATGTACCAGAAGTACCCGGTATTTTGATTTAAAAAGTCACAGTATAGTGCTGCCCGAGAGAGCCCAAGTGACACAATTCTAACCTTACCTCCCTGTTCGGTCAATAAAAGTTCCAGTATATGAATACCCCATGCTTGTGCTTTTAGTTTCTGTGCTTTGTCTGCTGAGATTACTCTAGATGGAGCTGGAACCACAGTTCATGCATGTTTATTGGACATTGTTTAAGATTTGCTTTTTGAGAGATCTGCGAATCTCGAAAGTTTTTTTTGTTGTTGTTACACTGTTTCTATACACTCTGAACGTAAAGCTGCATTTTATTGTTTCTTTGATATGAGAAAACCTTCAATAAAAGGCTATTTACCAAAAAAAAGATTTGCTTTTTGCTCCAAATCATTAAAAAATACTACCTTGAAGATGGTATACTTTCCTAAAGATATGTTTTTTCAGTTACTTCTTAAAGGAATGGAGGCTAGGGGAGAGTATGATGGCATGGGTAGCAAATTCCAAAGAAACCGGGCAGCCCTTTGGGAACAAGCAGATGTCAGGAGAAGGTCATTTACAGAGCAAAGGGGAAAAAAAATGGATATTTGTTGAGTAAAGAGGAAATGTAGTTTTGCTGGTTATTATTAGCAGTTTGAATTGGATCCTGAAGAGTACAGAATGCCAATGTAATGATTGAAAAATGGGTGAGATGTGGGAGTAGCAGTCTGTCAGGAAATTAAAATTGCGTCTTCACCTGTGTGTCTTGTAACCTCCGTTTTGAATTTCTTACCCACTTTAGCGTATTTTATCCCTCCTTTACTGTCTTACACCATCTTGTGTGTCTATTACAATTCCCCTTGTGTATCTCTTACTTTCCCCAGCCCCTTTGTGTTTCTCTTTCTCCTCACCAGCCCCTTTGTGTGTCTCTTTTTTTCCTCCAGCCCCTTTGTGCGTCTCTTTCTTTCCTCCAGCCATAGGCATGCGCAGCCTATTGCATTATGGTGTCCACCCTAAAGCACAAACACAAGCCGTGTGTGTATGTATGTGTGTGTATATATATATATTTATATATATATATATATATACACACATACACACACACATAAACACACACACATATATATATATATATATATATATATATACACACACACAAACACATACATACACTGCTGTGTGTGTGTGTGCTGCATGAGGGTGGTTTGAGGGTGTTGTGTGTGTAATGGTGCTGTTTGTGTGCTGTGTGTGTGAGGGTGTTTGTGTGTTTCATAGGCGTGCGCAGCCTATTGCATTAGGGTGTGCACCCTAAAGCACAAACACACAGCGCGTGTATAGATGAAAATTTATCCATACTTACCGTAATTTTCCTTTCCTGGTCATAGGCCATGGCAGCACAACAACAATGGGTTAGCTCCTCCCTATCCCTAATTAGACAGGAACATAATTAAAATCAGGGGTATAAATACCCCCTCCCACCAATGGTCCCTCAGTCTTGTTAACAGCAATATCCCAGGGCGGGATCTAAGTGCTGCCATGGCCTATGACCAGGAAAGGAAAATTACGGTAAGTATGGATACATTTTCATCTTTCCTGGCCATATCCATGGCAGCACAACAATGGGTAATACCCAAGCAATAACCAAGGGAGGGAATAAAGAAAAAAAAAAACACAGACTCAAGAATATTTTAAATGCTGGTGTATTAGAAATCACACGTGCAATAGAAATCAATCAAGAAGAGTTGACTGCGGATAAGACTGATTTGCCAAAAGAGTCTGATTGGCTGGCTTTAACGTCAATCTGGTAATGCTTTATAAACGTGTTTGGAGAAGACCAAGTGGCTGCTTTGCAAATCAGCTCAGGTGACAAATTAGCAGCTGCTGCCCAAGATGAGGAAAGGGACCTCGTGGAGTGAGCCTTGAGCCCATCAGGAACTTTCATCTTTGAAGCTTGGTAAGCCTGAACGATGGCGGCAACAATCCATCTACTGATGGCCATCTTAGAAGCCTGAAGCCCTCTTCTGGGGCCGTTGGGGATGACGAATAGCCTTTGAGAGATCCGCCAGGCTGAAGATCTTTGTAGATAGACAGACAGACATCGAACAAGATCTAACGGAGAAGGCAGAGGTTCAGCATCCTCAGTAGAAGACTCAGAATGAAGAGCCGGGAGTACTATTTCTTCGTTGATGTGAAAATTACGGTAAGTATGGATAAATTTTCATCTATACACTTTAGGACGAAATTCGGGAACTGTCCGTAAAATAACTCTGTCCTTATGAAAAACTGTAAAGGGC